CGTTGACAAACGTACAGTAATAGAGATGAAGCTCCAAAATAATCAAACCAAATATAAGAAAATAAACCAGTGCAGAAATATCTCATTACAGCACTGGAGGTGCCTTTTAAAACACATCTACCAGACATTCAAATCACTGGTACTTCTCTATTTAATTTGAAAAAAATAAAAACCAAGCCCTGGTTACTTGAAGAGATGCATTGTCGTAACGCAGTAAAGTCTTCCAAAAAATGCAATCCAGTGACACCAGACATGTAAGAAACCGTCTATTTCAAGCACAGAGTTGGAACAACAGCCTACAGAAGAAAATCTCACACAGACCGAGTATCGTATTGCACATTACCATCCTGAGTGATGACTGAATGATAAGGCCAACCTCTATCAATCTTTGCAGTTCAGAAACATAATCAGAGCAAGTGGTGCTGACCAAGCCTTTTCATATTCTAACAACCTTCTTACCTGATTAATAGCTTTTTGACTGAAGAGCAACCCCATTTTGTAAGAAGAGTTCTGGCATTCAGTGATGTGCACTTCTTGAATTTTCCCCGAGCATAAGAAACTGCACATCATGACAGATGCCAGAATTTTCAAAAAGACAGAAATCAGCTGTTGTGAGAAGGAAGAATTTATTAGACATTTTCTACAAAAATAATAGCTGTAACTTTCTCATATGCAAGTGTTACCAGCTGTGGCTACTACTGTCATTATTCAATTATTCATGACAGCCAATACATTCTCTTTTGCTTTTGTCTACAGAGTGCTACAGTGAGAATGTTCTGTATGTAACTAAATCTCCTGTTTGAAACACCATATGATTCAAGACATCATATCTTTGAAAGGCTTTTCAAAAATCCTACCTTCACTAGTCTCTTGGATGCAGCTTTATTGTGGAACTGCCACACTATAATCAAATGCCCTTTCAAGTATATTCACCATCATAGGAACAGTCCAGTTATTCTTGACAGATATGAATCTCTACAAAGACATCTACACTGTAAAGAAGAGCACTTCTACCAGAATTTTACTTCCTTGCAGACTCCTTAACAGAACAGTTTGCTGAACTGTTACAGATCACATGGACATTTGTACATTTCCTTCAGATCATATTTATTGGTAAAAAATATCCACCAAAGAACCTCATTCTCCTCCATCAACTTTTCTCTTCTTTTTAATACAGTTGACTGTTTTCTTTGACAAATAAGGGATTTTTCACCCCCCATCTGTCTCCACCTGCTCTTCAAATAGTCACATCTCAAGCAATTAACAAATAAGGTAGCAATCCTATTTGCTTCTTGTTCTAAACCTCATTTTTCCTCTCCTTAACCCAAAGTTAAGTTACACCTTATCTGTTGTAGTGTCTCCTATATTAAAGCTCTAATTTTTTAGCTCTTAATAAGATGATGAATCATGCCTTGATTTGCACAAACAATGCAAACACAAATAAAGAACTATTCATTTTTGTTTATGCTACTTTAATAAGACTTCAGAATTACTCTTTTTATCATCTGTTAAAAACTTAAGGACATAGCTAATACACTAAAAAGAATTGAAATAATACTGGAAATATAACAGAGTGGAGAGGTAACAATATAGAAGGTTCTTGGAGTGTGTGGAAGTTAACTTCTAGACACAGTTGGTGACCAAGACAACTAAAAAAGCTGCCCTGTAGGAGCTCTTGTTTGTGAACAAAGATTGGCGGGTGATGTGATGATTGGATGGCATCTTGGGCGCAGCCATTATGAAATTATAGAGTTTTCTTGGAGAAGTCGGGTCAGCAGAACTGCTGCCTCAGCCTGTTTATGACACTTGTTGAGAGAGCCCCTTTGCCTGAAGAGCAAAGGAGTCCAGGATGGCAGAACATTTTAAGAAATCCTAAGGATGCTGGAGCTGGCCATCCCCACGTGCTGAAAGACAAGCCAGTGGGGAAGACCACCGGCCTGGCTGCACAGAGAGCTTTGTCTGGAGCTCAGATAACAAAAACAAGTTTATGACCTTTGGAAGAAGGGGCAAGCAGCTCAGGAGGACTACAAGGGCATTGTGAGGTTATGCAGGCAGAAAACTTGAAGAGTCAAAGCTGAAGTAGAACTTTATCTAGACACTGCTGTAAAACACATTAAAAAATGTTTCTATAATATATTAGCAACAGAAGGAGGGCTGAGAATCTCCATTCTTGGCAGAATATGGGGAATAACATGGTGACAAAGAATGAGTAAAAGGCTGAGGTACTTAATGCCTTCTTAGTCTCAGTCTCTCATAGTAAGACCAATTTTTCTTTGGGTACCTAGCCCCCTGAGCTGGACAACAGAGAGCAGAACTGAAGCATCAACCATCTGAGGGAAAATGGTCAGCAGTCTTTTACACCAGTTAGATACACAGAAGTCTATTGGAAAGAACAGGATACATCCAAGGGTCCTGAGGGAGCTGGCAGCAGTGCTCACCAAACCACTTTCCATCACTTATCAGTAGTTCTGGCTCACTGGGTAAGTCCTAGACAACCAGAGGTTAGCAGTGTGACACCCATTTACAAGAAGGGCTGGAAGGATGATCTGAAGAGTGACAGGCCTGTCAGCCTGACCTCAGTGCCAGGGAAGGTCATGGAGCAGATTGTCTTGAGTTCCATCACACAGCAGATATGCAAGACAACCAGGGCATCAGGCCCAGCCAGCATGCTGTAAGGAAGGTCCTGTCTGACCAACCTGACCCCCTTCTGTGACCTACTTTGTGGATGAGGGAAAGGCCATGGATTTTGTCTACTTACTAAAGCCTTTGACACCACTTCCCACAGCATTCACCTGGAAAAACTGGCTGTGGAGGTCTTTTAGAACTCAGTTACTCAGCAAGCCATTAGAATGACACAGGAGGAATGAACCATCAAGTGCATTTTCAGAATATTTGTTATTTGAAGAGATTTATAAATAGTAGCAGTATTCAATTTTGCTGTTCTACAGAAAGGACATTTAGTTGAATATTAGAATTACACATTAAAACAGGATTCAAGGCATCACAATTCAAAAATCCTAGTGATGGTACCAAGCTGAAGAGCTAAAATGCCTATACCAGTGCATGACAGAAAGGGTAAATTAGTCGTCCAGTTTCCTTTATCATTAGCAAAGCTATAGCCCAGCAAATGTACAGTGCAAGAACAGTATTATGTTAGATTTGCAAAATACAAAAAAATAAATGATTGACAGATATTTCCAACTGTATAATTTGTCGCTTATGAAAAACTTATGAACTTTATGTTTTATTTTGTTCAGCTTGAAAACATACACATGGAAAATCTCTATCTGGATTTCAAACTGGTTTTAGTTAAAATCATCATCTTCCTACTGAACTGACGCCAAGACTTGTACTAGTCAGATTTTCACAGTTAGATTTTTCATAGACTTTCATTAGCAAACAGAATGGTTTCTATTTAGAGCCAAACCAGTGAAAAGCAGAAATAATAGGAAACCATTCAAATCAAAAACCAAAGCTCCATTACAACTTTACGGTAATTATGATTAATCCCTGCATAGCTATTCTTTGATATGAGCTTATTTTTCAGTCTGTTTCAAGACAACTTGCACACTGTTATTTCTCAGGCAAACGTAGAAGAAAACAGAAAAACAGGGTTTCAGATGTACACACTAAAACTTTTCCTTTCTAAAACCCTAAGTGACATACTCCACTGGGAAACAGTGCTACTGAAATCCTCTATGGATTGATCTGTCCAAACAGAAGTTTCTGGCTGGAATATGGAGTTTGCTGGACTAAGGACAGAAGTCTTACTGTCTTAAATTACATGATGGTTTTTCCCTTGACATGATAAGATTTTATGAAGGAAACTTCTGATTTAAGGAGTTCTCATCTGGACAAGAAATTTATCTAATTGATCTGACCTGATGTTACAACTCAGCAAATTATCAAGCTGGTCCCATGAGTAAATTATGCTACAAACCCTGATTGTACTGTAAATTCTCCAAAAAGCTGCATTTCCTCAGCAAATTTCCTTTCATTGCCTTTGCACGGAAAATACCTCTCTGACATGACCAATGTATTCATTTAATTTTTGGTTTATATTTTATCTTCCAATTTATTTTGGTTAGAGCTAGAATTATTCTGTTAAAAAATGACCTGATCCTAGACATAGTTTATTTAAATTTCAAAATGAAAAGCTTACTAAGAACAGATAAGATTGATTACTCCTTCCAACTTAGCATAATTGTATTTCAGGTGAACATCAATTTACTTTAAAGGACACTTCTAAGTAGCAGGCTGTATCATACATAATTCATCAATCACAGCTGCCTGTAACATGATTTACTCAAGCAGATTTCAATGGAATAGAGGGAATTGCATTGTTTTTTATGCTTTGGCTTGTTTGTTTTTAAATAGTTTACGAAACACTCATTTGTCCTGAATTATTGCTGAAAGGAGTTCATCCTTGGTAATCAGAACGTTGAGTTTCTTTCTCTTTGTATAGAAATGTTACCTCTTTAAATTTCTTTTAAAAGACAGAGTGAGTTTTCAAAACATCGTTAAGGCAGAGAGCACTCCATGCTTATTAAAGGTAAAAATAAAGCTCAAGGATTTTGCTGTGGAGGAAGCGATGGCAAGGGATTTATCTGAAAAGCATTATTCATTTTAGGGCTATTTATTTTCCAGCTGGCTTATATTGTTATTATTTGTTAGACCAGCAGTCAAACACAGGTGAAGAGAAGTAGCTGCTTCCTCAGCTAGTCCTTCTCATAGTTGTCACATGTATAAAGTGGCTTTTATGTGGCACTCTACACAAAACTGTATGCCAGTTGAAGTACAATCACTTCATACATCAAGAAATATAGGTGAAACTGCATCTTCAATCAAATTCAGCTTCAGGGACATGGTGGTACCTCAGATGGTCCTAAAGTAAAGAAACATTTCCAGAAATTGATGCAAATATAGCTTCAAAAGAAAAAAGAGCAAGAGAAACTGCTAGAAATACACATCTACACAAAGATAGAAAAGGCTTTACTTACTTGTAAACCCATTTGAAACACAGAGTGACCCATAAAGCTAGCCAACATTCGAATCAGAGCTGCACCCTATGGGAAATAATAGAGAAACAAAGTTACCGGTTTTGAATTCCAAGATAACACAATAAATACTCTCAGAAGCAGGCATTTCCACCCAACACTAACATGCCTGAAACCTGTAACTTATACAATCTTTATGTGTAGTAGAATGAAAAAGAGAGAGAAGATAATGCAAATGCTTACTAGCAAAAGTGAGAAAGCAAAGTGATAACAAGTGTTAATAAGTGATAATAAGTGTTAATAACCTGCCCCATATATTGAATAAGGTGCAGGTCAAACAACACACTCCCCCCACTGCTGGAGCATGCATGTGTCTGTTCCACAGGTGACTGACCTCAACCTTTCTACGCACTCAACAGAAAGGCCTGGTTTTAAATGAGAGCAAAGAAATAGTGCCAACTGCAAAATCTACCTCAGTGATTATTCATAACACTTCTATCTCCATTACAATATTGTACATCGGGATTCAGTGATACCACTTCCCTTTGTAACAGACTTCAAGATCTGGTGACCAAAAGTGAGTAATTTCCATTAGAATTTTATGAGATGTGGATATATATATTTGACGTATTAATAGTCAGGTTATTTTCCAGACTATCATGCAAAGAGGTAAGTACTTGTATAGCACTCTTATATATACTTATATATATATACTAAGAACTGCTATAAGTATATATATACTTATAGCAGTTCTTAGCCTCTTCCTCTTCAGACAAAGCATAGAGATCTAAGAGACAAGTCATTCTAAATCCCAGTACTTACTGCAAGAAACAGACAGATTCATGCAAGAGCAGCTTTTTTTAAGCATCCTTTTTGTGTTTTCTTACACACTCTCAGAAACACAATTGCTGTGTATTTTCCTTTTTCACAAGTGCTCTACTTCAAGCAAAAATAACTTTGCCGATCTGATGTGACCATTTAGCTATAATATACCACTTTACAACATAATTTCAATACAACCAGTCTTCCAATCCCAATATTTACTTGTTATACTTGTACTAATCACCATACAAGAGGGAAGACAATTGTGATTGCAAATCCATTAATTAAAGGCTTTAAGAACATGATGCTAGAATTCAATCACCTCATCTAGAGATGAAGGTCCAGGAATTAGGTTAACACTCAATCAGACAATAATAAAAAAAAAGGGAACATTACATAGGTTTCTCTATGGTTTCTCTTTCTATTTCAGAAAATTCAAGATCAGAATAATGTTTCAGAGCACTATATAATGTATCACAACTAATATTTACTCTCACAGTGAGAGCAAATAATTGGAAGATATCTAGTTTACTAATTGGAAGATACCTAGTTTCACTTACTTGAATGTATCTAGCTTCAGCTTTCAAAACAGGATTTTATGTCTTTTCCTGCTAAATGAAAGTTCAGGATAGTTTGGAAATTTAACTGTTGTCCAATTTTTAGATCATTTTACACATGTTCCACTGAATTTTTTATACAGTGGCTATTTTTAAGTACTGAATGGATCTGTAATAAACAACACTTGAATTAATGACATAAATCAAAAAATATTTGTAAATTATTAGTAAGTTATAAGAAAATACAAGTCCTTCATATAGGCAGCAAAACCAAACATTATATAGGTTGCAGAGTAACTGAGCTGCTTTTAGGAATTGAATAGTGAATAAACCAAAACATGATTTTGCATTATTAACACTAGGATATGTTGTTATGGTGGTATATAATCTTACTGGAAGACAAATTATGTCTAGAACACATTGCAGAATAGGAAGTAACACCTTTCAAAACAGATTATTAGCTAAGCAGATAATACCATAGGTCAGGAAACATTATTGCCCTTATGTTACCAGAGAAATAGATTGAGTGAAATTCTCAGAGACATTTAAGCAGATAAACAGCAGATAAATCTTTTTAAGCAGATAAACAGAAGATTTTTTTTTTTTAATCTTATAAATAGGTAAATCCTACTTATTCTGTAAGTAACTTGGTCAAGGCAATCCAAAGCATCCGTAGCAGAAACAAGAAATCCATAAAACATACCAAACAAAATCCTCAACAAGAAGACATTTTTCCATTCATCACACATCCCTTTTCCTACTCACTATTTAGTATTCCAGGATGCCCTGGTTTCTTTCTCACAGTTTAAATTTCACATAGTAACAAAAGACATGTATTTATATAAGCACCTTGACTCTACTCGACTCCACTGACTTCTTTAAAAAGTAAGCAAGCTAATAGTTCATATTATCTTGCCCACAGAGTCTTTTTCTCTATCCAGAGACCAAGAATTATCATATACATGTAAAGAAATTATATAATTCCCCTCACAGGTAACATTTAGACACATGTTGGATGGCTGGCTATATTATACAGCAAACAAAATAAAACAGCAAGTAAAAACTGAATGGAAAGTCAAGGCACAAACGCAGGACTAGATAGATCTCTTTTCACAGCTACTTTAGAAGTACTTTCTACCAACTAATTGCCTTCAGGAAACTCAGAAACTCTACTTAAAGCTTGCAGAACAATAGGCTTGTCACAGTTCTGCCATCTTCCCCATCCAGGGAAAGCAAATGCTTTCTTGATGTGTTTCAGGAAGGGAATGGATTCAAAAAAACAAGAGAACCTTAAGAGAGGAAAAAGTGTCCTCGAGAGATGGGAGAAGAAACAAGAGCAAATGAAGCCCTTGTTGTGGAGGAAAAGGAAATCGGAGGAAACCATTCATTTCACCTTTCCTGAACTTTTTAGAGTAGGCGGAACAGAGAACAATGATACATTCATAAGAAGCTCAGAAGTTCTCCACACATTCACAGCCCTGGAAAGCAGAGCAGGATAAGGCAGCAAACACTGTCACTCTGACTAGGGAGGAAGCAGAACAGGTTTCCAGGCAGAAGGATGAAAAGCAAGAGCTATAGAGAGTACTGCCATAAAGAAGAGTGGCTTACTAAAAGAAGATGACCCTAAGCAGAGGGTTGTGGGAGGTGCAGAAAGTATGCAGAGTAAGTTCAGTTATAGGAAAAACAGAATATATAGCTTTTGGAGTCATCTGAATGGCCCAATGCACTGACATTCCCACTGCCTATCTGCCTAGCAAGCAGCAAACTAGATGGAGTCCAGAGGACTTTTGCTGCCATACCTTCCAAAAGCTTCTTGACATAGACCTAAACCTACAGAAAAATCCCAACAAATCTGTCCTGCTGCTGGAGATGCCCTTTGGAACCTATCAGCATCACTCTCTGAATACCCTGACATGCAAGGAGCCTGCTCCCCACTTCACTCTCAGAGCCACTTCTGTTTCACCAACCTTTGTCCAACAGAGGAACAACACAGGATGTCTTGAGAAGTGAGCTTGCCTCTCCTACTGGGCAGAATGACTGTTTATTGATGATTTAAGTGCTTTTCTCCAGGCACTGGATGACTCAGTACCTTGTCAAGAGGTAAAGCACATTGGTTTAAGAGGTCTAGTGGAAAGCAATTCTTTCCTATTCAAAAAACGTACCTAGTTCCTGTCAGTGTAAAATCTGACTTGCCTTAAGCCATTGTACGCTATCTTAATTTGTCTACCTAGACAAATACACTAGTTATTCATCCAATGATTAATGGCACTACCTGCGTCTGGTGAAGCACTGCTCATTAGCAGATCTCAAAAGTGCTCACTAAGATTAATGTCAATATTCTGCAAATTAAAAGGAAACTGTGGCACATCCTAGTGAAATCACTTCCCAAAGATCACCCAGATCCTCGTATAACCTATACTCTCCTCGTATAACCTATGATACAGCTGAAGCTTTCTCAGCCTCATCACTGATAGCATTTCACTGCTATAGGAAAGGAAAGTAGAATTTGTTGGCTACTTCATGGAAGTTAGGTGCATACAGCTCTTTTTTGCGAAGTGCTCTTGGGAAAAGGCTCACACGCATGGACAGTTAGCCAACACTGCCTGAAGGGATGGAAGTTTATGGGATTTCTTCCCCTGAAGAAACTTGTATACTCACAACACGGTAAAGACAATCCATAACCAAACTTAGGAGTAGAATTTCTTTGTAGATGTCTTTGAAATCTACAAAATGCAGAGCCGAGCAAAGGTATTCAGTCTAATTCTCTCCATGTAGTCTAATTCTCTCCATGCCAACATAAAATAATGTGATTGCATCCTTGCATTCCATATTAGTTTTAACCAATTTTTAAAGATCCACTCCTACATCTTGATCCTCTTACATCATTACAGATCACAATTACTGTAAGTCAATTTAATTCTACGACTTGACTATCTCAATTTTATTATAATTCCTTAAATTCCTTAATTAATTGTTTCACTAGCAACTTGCATCTTGTAATATTTTTTAATACATAAGATAGTACCAAATAGGATTTTATTTAACAGAAAACAAACTAAGTCTTATATATGAACCCACAAAAACATGACTACTACTACAACACAGTACTGCGACAGAGCCACACAGGAAGTGATACACTTGATTCAATGCAGGTATTTGTAGCACCTGTGACTATAATCACTTTAGTTGTTTAGACTTTCCTTACAATCATTGGTTTTATGATTCACCTCTGGATGCACTTTATCTTAATGTAAACCTCACATCGGGGGTAATTGTAGTCTAAAAGCACCCATCTCTTGTAATTCACTCCAAAAGCAGGCTTGAGCGACTAGCTCATACGTACACATCTGCCGCAGACATCTAAAGTGCAATGAAATTCATTCACTGCACTGTCCAAAAAGACCATACAGAGATTGATTCCCCGTTCTGGGGGAACTCCTGAATTGTGGAGGTACAAAACCAGTGTGATCCTTTCATATATATAGTCAAATAACAAAAATCATATCTCGCTTTCTTCTACACACCATACTTTTACATGACAAGACTAGCAAGGGTAGGTATTCAACAGAAGGCCCTGGAGAGAGGGCAGAGTGCTTGCTATCTGAAGGTAGATGCTCTATACAAAACAGAAAGCAAAGAAGAGCACTTGAAATAAAGAACTGGTGAAGCAGTTGCAGGGAAGGGAACAAT